TTTCAAAGGCTTGAACTCTGCGTGCAAAAAAGTATAGAAAATAGGTAGGAAATATTGTTAAAACTCATACGTTTTAACGACCATTTCCCAGAAGAGATTAAAAGTGATATCGAGTTACAGGTTGTCCATTCCATTGATAGCCATATGTAGAGAAACCTCCAAGAAATAGTAAGGAAACTGAGCGATAAGGAACAAGTAGTATTGAGGCAAACAAAGAAAGACCAGGGGGTAATTATGTATTAAAATGATGTAAGCATCAGATGGTGTGGCACAACTCTACTATTGTTTTGAGTTTACAGTTTTATCAGCTCTCGAACACAGCTGAATTACTGTAGAAGAGAATAATAATTTCCTTAGTAATTCCACCTTATCAGACATTTTCAGACCCTCTCTCCAAATCGGGCTGTTTCAATATTTTGTGTTTATGTTATAACGTCCATGTAAGGAATACCTGTCGACCAACCCAAAAATCAGGACTTGCCGAACACATGGCTCAGAAAGGATATCAGAAATAGAAATTAGTCCAAATACTTAGCAATATATGGATACAAAATACCTAAATGCAACCCCCTAAATAGATTAATTGTGGCTATTGAATAGGACCAAGTAGAGAAAATTAGTCCGAACGAGCAAGAGGAGGAGGTTTAGTTATCCTGTAATCTGACTAACAATCTCACACCTCACACAATATACGAGAAATGGGTGCACACGATAGGGGTTCCATGGAACGCAATTACATTCTGCAACCTGTGAGGATCAAGAAGATACGTGATCTAAAGGAAGAAGCAGCTGTTTGGGCACTTCACGCATCATCTATAGCCATCTCACTTGGCATAGGATAACAAACCAAAAATTCGAGCTATAAGAAGTAGTTATGAGTGCAGCCAGACTACCTTTCTTGTCTTCGTGCTTATTTACTAATCGCAAAACATAATTTCGTGTTCTGAAGATGTCTATCAGATGACAGAGGAAGAGCCAAGCTAAGATAAATAGCAGTGGAAGGGACTGCGCACCGAGGAGTTATTCCCACAAATCTAGTCAGAATCTCTGGTCAGACAACTTTACGAGTCCCTTCGACTCGAATTTTGATATGAAATGAAGGGCACATCGATCCTTATGGTTTGTTTGCCCACATTGAGATGGCCTTGGGGTTATTGATATATAATTTGATAGCGCCATTTATACCAATGCCATCAACTCTAGAGACCATTGCATTTTGACACTTTTTCAACTAGGTCTATTATGTTCCTCCGGACCTAACATATTGTGTATTCGATTCGCAGACGAGGCCAAAGCTGCCGACCACTTTGGACTAGTACCAATATAAAATATATACATCGTAGTGTAACCATTGGAGTAGCAGGTTTTACCTTCAATGTAATACTTTTCATGAAACCTAGGCACTTAGCAATTAATAGTGAAATCAAATTTGTAAACGAGAATTACTAATAGCAATGGTTCCGTATTCTCTTATATCGAAGCATATATATCTAGTACATCCAGTGAGAGAATAATTCAAGTCGGCTTATAAAAAACTAAGAAGTACCTTGTTATAAGCAGTATTCGTGGAAGCGTATGATTATTACAGGATAGTGCTCGTAAATAATAAAAAGGAACGTGAACAGCAACGAGCATGAATAAGTATAATTACCTGACTTGAAACTAGTGCAGCTTGTTGTGCATGCGCATTGCCATTAAGAATGGCTGGACCACGGCCGTTCAGGCCAGCCGAAGCAAGTGTTCCATGTCCTGAACTAGCGGAACGTGAAAGAAGAGCAGCAGCTGCAGAGGATGACAAAGAACCAGCGAGAGCGCGCAAACCGAGATCGGTGATATTGCATACTGAGACGGAGAGGACACGCAACCGGGGACAATGGATAGCCAAATGTATGAGTGCATCATCCGTGATGCCCTAGAAATTAAAAAATAAATACATAAAGCATGAAGAAATAAATAGATGCAATTAATGATTTTGCGATAATAAATGAAAAAATCAAGTGGAGGAAACTATCATGTGTTAGTTGCTGAATAGTACAAATTAGTAAAAAATTTGGAGACTCATATTGTACTTAAGTTATAAATGAATGTGTAGTGACCCATCCCCACACTTTTCCTATTCAATGTAAAGTTTTTGTTAAATCCCGCACGTAGCGATGACTCAAAATTCTTTGGCGCAGAGATCACGTGAATGCGTGAATAATCCTGACTCTATTTCGCGTCGTCAAATTAAAGCTTTGCAACGAATCGTCTAATCAGAAATTGACATGGAAAACTACGCAAGGGTATGTCACCTAGCTCGCATTCTAATAGAAGGTATGAAGACCAAGATGGTGTGGCCTTTTGTGTGGTCGTAGTTTCCTTACGTTGTATAGAGGTTGTTTGAACTTGTTTTCTCAACTTGGTCATATTGGTAGGAAGACTTAGAGGAACGCACCTAGTCCGGAGTCCATTGTATACATGATCATTTCCAAAGTCCACCGTGGACGTGATGCATTCCAAGACGTTTCGCCGGCATCGTCAGTGAGTCTCGCCATTCTTAGCACCACACAACAACTCGTCAAGGAGACAAGTGAAGCCGATCCTTTGACCAAAAGTGGGCTAAAAAGCCCCTTCTGCCCTGGGCTATTCATATTCCCTATATCCTCCTATCACGCCTTCACTGTTTCAATTTTTTCCGTGCTTATTGAGATGCAGTGTGATGTGCTCCTTTGAGCGAAATTCATGAAAACCCTTCACTCCACGCTGTCGTTCTCACCACTTCACCCTTGTGTTGGGAATGTTGATCAGAGTCTGTCATATTGTTACGCAGTCCTCCTTCCCTTGGTATTATCACAATCTCTTTCTTGTCCCATAAGATCCGTCGGCTCTCTTCCTGGTTCGTGCATTTCCCTGGACCCCTGCAACTCCATCTGTGCTACTTGAGGCGTTATTCGCCCTCCCCTGAATCTGGGTGACTAATTCGAGGCTCAAGCCTGAGTTGTTCTCATCGGCAAGCCTTTGCTACATGGACCACGTCTCTGGTAAAACAGGCCTACTGTCAGTTAACTAGCCCCAGTCTCCGCGGCGTCTATTCGGTTTCTATCCGAAATATGAAGTCTATGACTTGCTATGCTTTGTTTATTGTGTGCCAACCCACAAACGTTGTGATTCAACATTGAACCTAATCAAAGCAAACAATACCACAACATTCGTGGGTTGGCACACAAAAGACTAGGGCATGGGAAGTCATAGACTTGGTATTAGGAATAGAAATAGGATAAATGTGGCGGAGACTCATGCTAGTTGGCTAACCGTAAGCCATGTAACAAAGGCTTAATAGCAAGACTAACTCAGGCTTGAGCCTCGAATTAGTCACCCAGACGCAGATGAGGGCAAATAACGCCTCAAGTAACACAAATGTAGTGGCAGGGGTCGAGTGAAATACGTGAACCAGGGATATAGTAGACGGATCTTACGGAGCAAGAGAGAGACTGTGATAAGACCTAGTGAAGGAGGGCTGCGTAACAATATGGCAGACTGATCAACATTCCCAGCACAAGGGTGAAGGGATGAGAACGAAACGTGATTTGTGAATGCCGCTCAAAGAAGCACACCACACCACATTTCAATAAGCACGGTATAAATTGTAACAGTGAAGACGTGATATGAGGATATGAAATTTGAATGGCCCAGGGCATATGAGGAGATACTATAATTGTTTAGCACACGTTTGGTCAAAGGATCAGCTTCACCTGTCTCTTTGACGAATTGTTTTGTGGTGCTAAGAGTGGCAAGGCGCCCTGACGATGCCGGTGAAACGTCTGGGAATGTACCAGGTCCACGGTCCGAATTTGGAAATGATCATGCATACTATAGACTCCGGACTAAATGCCTTCCTCTAAGTCTTCCTACCAATATGACCAAGTTGCGAAAACAAGGTCAAACAACCTCTAGCAACCATTCTGTTTTAATCGGTCATGTTCTTTTCCTTCTCTTTATCCTCTCCGCAATGACCTGCGGTGTTTAGAATGTTCTAGTTGGCGCCATCTCTCAATGATTGTCTTTTTATTGTCAGCTTTCCAATACTGTATTAAGCCGTTTCAAAATAGTACAATTGGTAATACAACTTGTTCCTTATATCTCTTTGTTTCGGGGCCTCCATCTTTGGAGTTCTAGTGCAAGCGTTTAATATTTTAGTGGCAGTCCATGTCCTTCTTTGAAACACAACTTCAAAGCCTGCTGAACTAATTCATTCAAAGCATGAAAAATATCACATCAAAAGTTAGCTAATGGTATAAAATTATACATTTGACTA